CCCCGGTGCCTGTGACACCCCCTTTAAGCCCTGGCACCTGTGAAACCCGTTTAACACCCTTAAGCCCCAGGCTCCCCATTTACCTCAGAGACGTCTATTTTTGTGTCTTTTTAATCGGGGAGGGGGGAGGCGGTGGTTGTAGCTCCCATTATTTTTTTTATTAAAAAGTACCCTTCCACCTGGAGGCTCCCTTGTCTCCCAGCCCCATGTACAGAGCTCCCCAGGCCCCTGCCCGTGTACAGCCCCCAGCCCCTCTACAATCTCACTTTTTGTGAATAAATTTATTAAGAAAAAGTGATGTCCTTATTTCTATTTGTGCTTAGGGGGTGGATACAGAACTGGGCCGAATTGGGAGTGCTCCTGGGACCCAGTTCCCTCTCTGAACAGATGGGGGTGCTCTCGGAGCCGGGTGGAGGTGGGGGTGCCGGACGCGGACACGCGGGTGCGCCGTTTGCCCAAGCAGCGGTCTACGTTGGGAAAGAGGAAGGCGAACCGGGGCCCCGTGAAGCTGCGGGGAAGCCGGTGCAAGCACTGGGGCGCCGGGTTCTGCCCGGAAGGGGGCTGCCCCTCGAGGGCGAGGCACCGAGGACCCCTGTTGACAAACACGGGGCACGTTGCCGGGCGGCCCCGGCTCCCGTAGGCCCAGGCTGTTGCTAACATCAAGGAGCTGTTTACGGCGCCGCCTCCCCACGGAGCAGCCCCAGTGTCCCTATCTGCTCTCCCTACACCCCGCGCTCGCGTGGACTCCCCGCGGGCCGTCACCCTCCCCGGGCCTGGGAAGCCGCGGCGCGCCGACCGCGTTCCGGCCCGCGCCGCCGCAGCCCTAGGGGCGGGCGGGCGGGGCGGGGCCGGGCCGGGCCGGGCGCCCTCCAGTTAAGCGCCGCTCCGCGCCGCCGCCGCTCGCCGCGGCCGGGCTCCGCGGGGCGGGAGGAGCGGCCGCCAGCTCTGTGCTTTCATTGGCTGACGTGATCCGGGGCCTCCCGGGGCCACCAATCCGGAGGCGGGGGAGCCCGGGGCCGCGGGAGGGAGTGGCCCGGAGTCGGAGGGCCCGAAGGGGGCGAACGGAGCCGCGGCCTGAGAGCTGCGGGCCGGGGTGGGGGTGGGGCGCCCCGCGGCGCCCGGAGCCCTGCGCGGGCAGATAGCGTGGGCGGGGCCCTTATCCGCCTCCCCGCCGAGCGCCGGCCGGGGGGCCCCGAGACCTCTCCCTCCGGTTTCCTCGGTCCTCTCGCGGGTGAGTCCTGGGCCCTGGGCGGGGACCTCACTGGCCCCACCTCGTCCGCCGGCTCTGCCGTAGTTTCCCCCGAAGCAGTGAGTGGCCGGGGGTGGAACGTGGAACCTGCGGGGGGCTTCTGCAGAGCAGGGTGCTCCCCGGTCAGCCTGTCCGATCGCCCCTCTCCCCTAGGCTTCCCAATGGGCCGGACCGTGGTCGTGCTGGGCGGTGGCATCAGCGGCTTGGCCGCCAGTTACCACCTGAGCCGGGCCCCCTGTCCCCCCAAGGTGAGTGCCCCATCATGCCAGAGGGAGCCTCCTTTAATACTCTCCTCCCGTATCCGGCCAAAGGGAGCGCGCCACCGTCTTCCCCTGCGGACCCTTTACCCCGAGGCTGTAGGCCGTGCAGCGTGTCTCGCTCCTGTCCCCAGGTGGTCCTGGTGGAGGGCAGTGAGCGTCTGGGAGGCTGGATCCGCTCGGTCCGAGGGCCAGGTGATGCTATCTTTGAACTTGGACCTCGAGGAATTCGGCCGGCGGGAGCCCTGGGAGCCCGGACCCTGCTCCTGGTGAGAGGATTATGGAATGCCCAGGAGGGCTTGCGGAGGGGCCTTCACTAGAGGACAGACTTGGGAGGAAGTATTGGTGGGCCAGTCCTTTCCTTAGTTTCTCCTCTTCTTGAGGATGTTTGGAGAGCAGGTTTCTGAGCTTGGCTTGGACTCAGAAGTGTTGCCTGTCCGGGGAGACCACCCAGCGGCCCAGAACAGGTTCCTGTATGTAGGTGGTGCCCTGCATGCGCTGCCCTCTGGCCTCAGGTAACGCTGTCACCTCCTTACCGACCGTCTTTCTACCTTGCCCGCATCATGTCACCCCTTCCATTTCCCCATCTCCCAGTCTGTCCGCCCTCCCAGCAAGAGGAGCCAGATGAACAGAAATGACTATGCTTTCCTCAGTGCAGGGGGCTATTCCGCCCTTCACCTCCCTTCTCCAAACCTCTGTTTTGGGCTGGGCTGAAGGAGTTGACTGCGCCCAGGGGCAAAGACCCTGATGAGACTGTGCACAGTTTTGCCCAGCGTCGCCTTGGACCTGAGGTAACAGGGCCCAGAGGCCCCCAAATCCCTCTCCTCCTAACCAGCAGCAGAGCCCCCTACTCAAACCTTCCACCTAGGGGCTCTTCTGTATCATTTGGGAACATCCTCTCCCTCTTCACACCCAGTACTCCCCAAAACTCAGCGTTGAGACCGAATGCCTCCACTTCCTTCCCATTCTTTTGTTATAGGGGGACTGCTCCCCACCCCAAACCCTACCCCACCTCCGATCCCTGCGATGCAGGGGCACTGGAAAGTAGTCTGTGCAGCTTCTTCCTTGGCCTCTCACTCCCAGTCTCTCCCTTAAGGTGGCGTCTCTAGCCATGGACAGTCTCTGCCGAGGAGTGTTTGCAGGCAACAGCCGGGAGCTCAGCATCAGGTCCTGCTTTCCCAGTCTCTTCCAAGCTGAGCAAACCCATCGTTCCGTTTTACTGGGGCTGCTGCTGGGGGCAGGTGAGTGGGGGGGCTGGTTCGAGGGATGAAGATATTAAGGACCACCGGAGTAAGGGACTGGAGGCCAGGGGTGCTGTTTCAGTGATCCTTCTTTGCCTCCCCCTGTGCAGGCCGGGGCCCACAGCCTGACTCAGCACTCATTCGCCGGGCCCGAGCCGAGCGCTGGAGCCAGTGGTCACTGCGTGGAGGGCTGGAGACGTTGCCCCAGGCCCTTAACACCCACCTGACTAGTAGGGGGGTTCGTGTTCTCAGAGGGCAGCCTGTCTGTGGCCTCAGCCTCCAGGCAGAAGGGCGCTGGAAGGTAGGAGAGCCCCCTGGTGTGTCACGTGTGTGTTCGAGTTTCCATTTTTGCCTAAATGGCCAGGGTTGGCAGGACTAGTTACTCGTTTTCCTGCCCTAGATGCTATTTTTTTTTTTTTTTAAGATTTTATTTATTTGACAGAGAGAGACACAGCGAGAGAGGGGAACACAAGCAGGGGGAGTGGGAGAGGGAGAAGCAGGCTCCTGGCCGAGCAGGGAGCCCGATGCGGGGCTAGATCCCAGGATCCTGGAATCATGACCCGAGCCGAAGGCAGACGCCTAACGACTGAGCCACCCAGGCGCCCCCCTAGATGCTATTTAAACATGGGCTATCCAAGGGTCTTAGGCCTTATTTGTAGACGTTCCTCCAAGACCTGTTGGATCCAACTCTGGACAGAGGTGGTGTTTGTGAGTGGCTTAGATAGGGGAAGGGACAGCCCAGCCCCACTGCACATCTCCGAGTGGCCACACTGGCTTCCGTCCGGCCCACTGCCTGGAGTGATGGTGGGGGTGGGCTCTGTGCCGACTGCAGGGGGGCGGTCTCTTCATCCTGGGGCAGCACTCAGTGTCTCCTGCCAGTTCGGTGCCTGGGAATCGGAGGCAAAATTCCCATGATCTCTGTGTTCTTACATGTTTTCATCCTGTCAGGTGTCTCTGGGGGACGGCAGTTTGGAGGCAGACCACGTGATTAGCGCTGTTCCAGCTTCAGGTACTGGGGTAGCCCTCCTCCCCGTCCCCAGCCAGAGTGAGGCCAAGTGTAGCTTCCTGGGCCAGCGGGAGCACGCTGTGAACGCCTCCTGAAGCAGGCCCCTGGCTGCTGTCCCCCAGTGCTCAGCGGGCTGCTCCCCGCCCAGGCCGCACCTCTGGCCCGCGCCCTGAGCGCCATCCATGCCGTGTCCGTGGCTGTGGTGAACCTCCAGTACCGAGGAGCTCGTCTGCCTGTGCAGGTGGGCGTGGGCAAGATGAACGAGAGCCACGGGCCCAACCGGAACCCTTCTTCCTGACCCGGGCTCTTGCTGCCTCCAGGGATTTGGACACTTGGTGCCATCTTCAGAAGACCCGGGCGTCCTGGGAATCGTGTATGACTCCGTTGCTTTTCCTGAGCAGGACGGGAGCCCCCCTGGCCTCCGAGTGACGGTGAGAAGCAGCAGCTTTGCTTAGTGGGGGTTTCCAGAGGCTCCCTCTGTGCCCACTAGGTCAGGCCAGGCTGGTCAGTGCCACGTTCTCTCCCTAGGTGATGCTGGGAGGCTCCTGGTTACATACGCTGGAAGCCAGGGGCTCTGTCTTACCTCAGGAGCTGTTCCGACAGCAGGCGCAGCAAGCGGCTGCCACCCAGTTAGGGCTGAAGGAGCCACCAACTCACTGCTTGGTCCACTTACACAAGGTGAGTTGAGGACGCGCCGCTTGGCTCCCACTGGAGGCAGGGACCGGTGTACCTGTTGCCGTCTACTCGGGCTTGGCCGTCACCAACCAGAATTTCCCCGCATCCCCTCTTCTCTCCCCAGAACTGCATCCCCCAGTATACGCTAGGCCACTGGCAAAAACTGGGTGAGTTGGGAAAGCGGCTGTGTGAGGAGGGCAAGGAAACCAGACCCCCAGCGGTAACAGTTCCTTCATCTTCTCCTTCCAGAGGCAGCGACCCAGTTCCTGGCTTCTCGGAGGCTGCCCTTGACTCTGGCCGGAGCCTCCTATGAGGGAGTTGCTGTCAATGACTGTATAGAGAGTGGACGCCAGGCAGCAGCCCGGGTCCTGGGCTCGGAGCCTAACGGCTGATCCCCAGCTCTCACCTCCTCCATGCTTTGCTTTACCCACGAAAATACAAGTTGCTGGAGCTTGGCTGGGTCTGGTTGTTCCGTCACCTCCAGGCATACGGTGGCGGCTGGGGGGGGGTTGGGGGTGGAGGAGCGGGCCGCAAAGGTAGGCACAAGGTGCCTGGGATGCAGCAAGCAGGAGCAGAGGCAAGACAAAGTCCTTTATTAGAAAATATATCAAAATCCCAGCCCCCTGAGCCAGGTCCAGAAGAGGAAGTGACTCTAGCACTGGCAGAAAGTACCCAGGGAGGGGCTTCCTTCACCAAACGTACTTCCTCGGAACCATAAATAGAATAAATATTCACAGAGGTCCCAGGAAAAGCCAGATCACTCTTCTCTCCACGGAAGAGGAAGGGACTTGGGGTCCAGCCCTGCTCTTACCCCAGGGGCCAGGGACTCTGAGGAGTCATCACATAAAATCATGACATCAAGGATTCACAGTCATAAGCCCTAGCAGGTGACCCTAGAAAGAGGGACCCCCAGGACTGAAGGAGCCCAGCTCCAGTCCAGCAGTGAGGAGAGGCCCTTGCCTCCAGCACAGCCTGGAGTTCAGTCCCCCCACATCCCTCTAAGACCAGTGAGGAGCTGAGGGTGGGGAGAGTACAACCCCTCTGATTCAGTTTCATGATTGAGGAGGGCAGGAAGGAGGAGTCAGTGTGAACCACGGGGGGCTGTGTGGTTGGCAGTAGGCAGAGGGCCAGGCCTGGCTGGGGGCCGGCGCTGCAGCATCTCTTGACGGAAGGCCTGGGAGGAACCAGGTGGGTAACGGGGACCAGAGGGACTCCGGGGACCCCGAGGGTCAGTTCCAATGTCTGCTGTGATGTTGGTATAGAGAGGGCCCAGCTCTCGAGCCAGCAATCGGTATGTCAGTGAGTTCATCCCATCTTGCGTCCAGGAATTCTGAGTACGGACCAGGAGGTCAAATCTGAGGGTCAGAGGTTGGAGAACTAAGGCCCAGAAAGAAACAGCCAGGAACCTAGGGAACATTAGGATGCAGTACTTTCCCTGGGGGTGCAGAGCCCTACGGAGCCATAGCGGTTCCCAAGCAGTCCTCCCTACCTGTGGGGGTTTTCCTCGTTACCCTTATCGCCTCGATGCTTCACCATCTTGTAGTGCCCCACCGATGTGGGGGGGCGAGAGATCTTCATCCCAGCCAGACGCACCCTGTGGGAAAAGGGAGGGCACCTTGGAGGACCCCAAGTGGAGGAAAGCTGCTGACCAGTCAACAGGGAGAGCTACGGCCAGCAAGGAAGCAACAACATGTTTCTGTACACAACGACTAGTATTAGGCAAAAAAAGTGCCACATACTGGAAGAGAGAAAGTCAAACAGAGCGAAGGAAACAGCACGAGGGAATGTAAGGGCTGGACGCAGCCAAGTCCGGGCACCCTTTGGCCTTTTAACGGGCAGGTAGGTCCGCACCTCCCATCTTTGTTTTCTAAGTGACTCCCAGGAACTGCCCTGGCATTTGCTCAAAAGGACAGGACAAGCCCAGGAATTGCAGCCCCAAGCTCAGCAATTCCTACTTAGAACAGTGGCTGAGCGGCCTTGACTCCCTCACCCTGCACCCCCCCCCCCAACCCTCAGTGTTAGGAAAAGAATGGAACCAAGTAATCAGGACCCCACCTCTGACACACAGAAGCAAGAGCCGAAGATGGCCTGGGAAAGTACTGAAGGAACACGTACATTTAGAAATTGCTGGATCCTTTACACACACAGAGAGAACAAGAACTCAGAGAGGTCATCTGGAGGACACGAGGGGGAGGGAAAGCAATGGGTCCAGCATAGCAAGCCCAAATTTTCACACCACAGATAGGAAATTGGGTCAGCTGAGGCTGAAGGTCAAAATGTTTCACATGCTAAAAATGAGCTGGCATCATGCCAATGGCACAGACTTAAAACCAGAAAGCGATTCTGGGCGATATGGAGCGGAGCCCCTCCTCCACAGCCCCATAGGAAGTGGTCTGGATGCAACGTTAGCAGAAGGCAGGACTGAAGTATGTCTAGGCCCCTTTCCAGCTCTGGAATCCCATGATCCTACAGCCTATTGATCTTCCCTTCTCTCCCAGAAACAGAACTCACCAGATCTAGGAGACTGAAGGGTGACAGAATGGGGAACAGCACGAAAAGCCTGACCTGGGTAGATGGGAAAAGCTAAGGGAGAGGAATGGGCACAGTGCAGGACCAGGGAGCTAAAGCCGGTGTTAAAGGGTTAGAGCCAGGGGTGGTCTCGGAGGACAGGGATCCAGGCCAAGGTGGGGGTGGGGAGTGGTGGCAGGAAGTCTGACCTGGTAGCAATGTCGTCATCCTCACCACCCCAGCCCCAGTATTCATTGGGGAAGCCATTCATCTTCAGGTACTGGTCAGGAGTGAGCGCCGAGACTCCTCCAAAGTACTGGGGGTACGGGAGGCTAGGGAGAGAAAGATCCATGGGTTCCACGAGCCTTTTGGGGAGACATCCCTACCCCACAATCCCCTTGGCTCTCCTTCTTCCAATGGATGGTGGGTGTCCCTACTTCCCAGCACCCTCTCGTGCCCTCTACCTGTATCCGAACTTGTTCATGGCAACAGCAACATGCCGGGGTCCCCGGGGGTCACACACATACAAATTGTGGTCGTTCTCAGGCAGAAGGTCCACGTCGTGCAAGAAGAGGCAGTCCCACTCCTCGTCACGCAGGGCCTCCCGCACCCCAACGTTTAACAGCTTGGCCCTGTTAAATGTTCCATTTCCAGCCTGGAAGGTAATGGAGAAGAACCAGACCACATCTGTAGGTAGTAGCATGGAGAAGAGGGGGCAGAAGTACAAAAGTGAAAGGAGGGGAATCAGAGCGGGGGGAGTGGGGCAAGGAGAATGAAGAGAAAGCCAAGGTTTCATTTTTTCATCCAACAAATCGTTTTTGAGATCAGTATGTGCCTGATTACTTACATGCTACTGTTTAGCATTTAATCCTGACAACCAACAGCCATGGAAAACAGGTGTCTATTAGTTTTCATTCTTTGCCTCATTTTAGGGGGTTAAGAATCTTGTTCAAGGTCACATATGGGACAAATGGCAGGACTGATTTTAGTCCAAATCTGTCCGATTCCAAATTTGTGCCATTCCCAATTCAACCAAGGAAAAATCATGGAGAGTACAGGGCAGTCGGAATACCCTGAACAGAGTAAGGAGGACTAGGGGGCTAACAAGCTGGTAGAGCAGGGCCAGGTGCTTCTCCACATTCAACAGTCTGACCCTCTTAGAATTATTCCAGGGACCCACAGTCGGAGAACTGTGCGGCATTTCCTCGAGGCTTCCTACCAGAAGGTCCGAGTGGAGGAGGTTGGGAGTACCTGGTGGATGACATAGATGCCGTACGCAAGCTGCTGACGCTGCAGGAAGGGGTGCAGGTGGTAGAGCAGCAGGCGAAGGTGGTGCTCCCGGGCCCGGTGGGGCACAATGACGGCTGTGCGGGAGCGGGGCTCACACCCGGCGGGGCGGTACCGGCCCCCCGGTTCCACCCGGGGATTCCTCTCCACAATCTCTGCCAGTGACGGCACTGGGCTAAAGGACACGGACACGGGACCCACTGTTGGGAGGGAATGGCGAGGTCAGGGATTAGAGGGGCGACGAGAAAAGAAGGACCTGCAGGGCCTGGGAACACCGCTGGCCCCGGCGGTCTGGTTCTTGTACTCTGCTCCCCCAAGGGCTTACACAGAAATCTGCACACCTTGAGCTTCCCATCATTGGGACAGCTTTGCAAAGTCCGAAAGGTGCAGGCTCTTTACTTAGCCTACCTTATTTTAGGGTTCCATAACTCCTGCCTCACTAGGTTAGAAGATGGAGAACACAGAAGGACCTCAAGCTAACTAACTAACCCGGGGCTCATCTACAAAGGAAGCAATTGCCGGCCCAAGGCAGCAAGAGAACATGAATGGCCAGGCAATGAAAGGTTGTGGCTCAACCCAGGAGTCCAATCTAAATTCCAAATCCAGAGCCTGCTGATCTCAACCTCTGCCCACCTTTGGTTACATTAACCCCAGGTCCTAAATCTCACGCCTGCCGCCCTAGCCCTGTCCCCACACCCTGGCCTTCCCTTTACCTCCTCCTCCTTCCTGCACTCACCTAAAAGAGGAGACCGTTCTGGACAGTAGGGCAGACCTTGAGGAGCTGGAGGGCCCCCTGGGGCAACAGGGGCGCCAGGTAGGTGACTGAGGTTACTGTAGACATCATGGGGATGAGAATAGTCAAATGTCGGCCCCTGCTCTCGGCCAAATAGGGCACTGAGGCTTCGGAAGCCCCCCAGTGACAGGTACATCATGACAGCCAGCTGGGAGCCCACAAGCAGGGCCAGTGTGCAGGGCCGCTCCAGCAGCCTCCGCAACATCCTGGGCTCAGGTCTGAGGAGGGAGAGAGGAGAGTTCTGGGGGCAGGCAGGCGAAGAGCAAGCCAGCAGAGAGATCATCAGTTGCGAACCAAGGTGGTGCCAAGAGTTAAGAGGAAAAGACGCAAAGAGCAAAGTCACAGAAGGGAGCACACAGGTGTACAGTCATGCGCCGAAAAGAAACAGAATGTAACCACCAGCAGCCCTACCACTTGCCATTTCCAGCCTAAGTTTCACTCTCCTCCACCTTTTCTCCAAACCACTCAGGCCAATTACTCTCAGTCCCCACCCCCAAGGATGCTTACATCATTCAGGTCCTTTTCAAAGAAGTCTCTGGAGAACCTCCCTCCCAATTTTAGAGAGGGGTGGACTCACCTAGGTTCAAGCTGTCTTCTTCGGGATCATGGGGACTTCAGGGGGTCCCGGGGGGGCAGAGATGTGAGGCATTATCTAAAATTGGAAATGTCACAGAGGACAGAGAAAGGCTCCATCCAGCACTCCAACAGCGATCCTGGGACCAGCTGGAACAGAAGTGGTCAAGGATAACCACTCACCCAGAGGGGCAGAGATCAAGATCAGGGTGGAACTGGTTTCCCAGCAGTAGAAGTGAGGGAAAGTGGCCTGGGAGGGAAAAGGGGAGGACCCAGTCTCTGGGTGTCAGGTGTACCTGTACTTAACCATACCCCACCCCGACAGGACCAACCTGTTTGGGGAGTGGGGACGGGGTTGCTAATGGAGACATTATTTTCGCCAAGGGGTGAGGCAGTCACGACAGGATTGTGGAGTGGCCTCAGGAGAACCCAGGGCGGAGTAGGAAACAGGTTCCTTTCCGTTCTTCACGTGCCTGGGCGCTAGCCCCGCAGGTGCAGGGAGCGTGACCCCCTGGGAGCTGCAAGCAAACAGCCCCGGAGCGCGGCGGGGAGTAGGATGGGGGTGGCGTCGTCTACCTTTTCTACCCTATCCCAGTCCTCGCGGGGGCAGGGAGGAGGGTTACCGCTACAAGTGAGATGGGGAGTGGGAGGGCTGGGCAGAGCCCGTCGGGGGTATCTGGGCTGGCTCACCTAAGGGGCGTGGTCAGCGCTCTGCGGAGGGTCACAGCCCAGTTCTTTCGGGGCACCCCAACCTCCTCTTGCATTTGCAATGTGAGCCCACCGGCCTCTGTCCGTATTTCCACCTGGGACCCCCTCCCTGCTCAAGCTGGTCTCCAGCCTTTACCCGAAACTTCTCATCCTCCTAGTCGCCCGAACCTTCCTCCCGGGCCTCTCACCCCATCATCCCCAGCCCACGTACCTGCTCTTCTGCTTCCCGTCGTCACCGCCACCCCGACAGCCTGGCAGGCATCGTCACCGCCATCTTGGAAGCGGGCGCCGCTGGGCGGGGCCTCGCGTCACGGGGCGGGGCCTCGCGTCACGGGGCGGGGCCTCGCGTCACGGGGCGGGGCCTGGGTGGAGCCGCCCGGGCGGGCGGGGCGCGGGGGGGGACCGAGGCCGGAGCGCAGCCCGGCGCGGCTGGACGGCCTGGGGAGTCGTCGGGGGCCTCTCCCCTCTGGTTCCATTCCTGACCGGATGCCATTTCCCACCCCTCAGACTGGGAGGGTAGCAGCTCAAATCAGGACTTTCTTGCAGGGCCGAGCTTGGCCCAGAGGCCAGTGCGACAGTTTCTGGCGCGTCCCGAGACCTGTCACCGCGGGCCAGCCGCTTCCCGGAGTGTCCGTGGTGCCCCCGCAACTTAATGCCACTTAGTATCAGAATTGTTTCTTGCTCAGGGTACATCGTTGCGACTGCTCTGGCGCATTTTTGTGTCCCCGTGGTGTCCCGCAGGCCTTGAAATAGAAACGATTAGTTAATAAAACAAGGAAACATTGAGTGAGGAGGGAAGGGCGGCGTCTGCTTTAATGTAAAATTGTGTTTTCCCGGATATTAGAGTAAAATGGACGCTCCATTAGTACGCAATATGTTTATCTTGTGGCTTTCACTACCCTCTTAGCATGCTGTGTTTCTTAGAAGCAGATGTTCACACCCGGGAAACTTAGAATAACTCACAGCGTGTGCCTCCAAAAGGGAGGGATACAAACAATACAGTGCGATAAATATGATTGCCCAGAAACTGCAACTCATTCAGACGTAGAGACTTGGGAAAGACTTCCCAGAAGTGATGGTTAATGGGGAACCAGAAGGACTCATCTATAGCCCATCCATCTGCCCTATGAGATTCTGTTTCCGAGGGAGCTATTTTACAACTCTGTGTAGGTAACTGATCCACATGCAAATTCTGTGAGGACCCTACTCCCTACATTGTAAAAAACAAAAAACAACAGTTTTTGCCTCCATGTTCATATTCATTTTTGTGTTCCTGCTCCGTAAATGTGTGTTCTTTAGATTTCTTTTAAACTAGGGTATTACGTTGCATTGAATGGACGGAGGTTTCTGTGATTTGTCCTGCATAACCGACCACCCCACCCGCACATTGGCAGGCAAGCTAAAGAATGTTGTTTGTGAGACATAAGTGACCCAAGGAGCCTGGTTAATTGACATTAACTGGCCTCCAGGTCAGAACTGGCCCTTCTGGTCTGGGCGCCAAGAGCTATAGTTTGCCTACAGCCCACCATCTCCAGGCTGGGCTGGCTCCCCAGAATGGAATCCAGGAGGGGAGGCAAACACACCTAGCCCAGGCTCCTTGAATATGTAAAGACATGATAACATAGGAATGCAGCTCGCTCCAAACTGCACACAGGCAAACAAATGTTGAACTTCAGACCCCATCATTTGCCCTACAAGTATGGCCCTTATAGGGATGGGTCAGTTGGAAGTCTCAGCTGGAGAGGCCTCTCTCCATAGGCATTCCAGCTTGGCTGACTCCATGGGGGCTTCCCTACCCGCTGATGAGGTTGGATGTTGTAAGTACCCGATTAGATTGCCTTCATCTATGCGCAGATTTTCCTTTTCTTCGGTTTCTTTTAGATTTTTATAATATCAATAAAGTGTTTTTTTCCCTTCGAAACAGAGTACAGCTGCTGTGAATCTTTTCTTTAGAACACACATCTCTCGGGCGCCTGGGTGGCTCAGTTGGTTAAGCGACTGCCTTCGGCTCAGGTCATGATCCTGGAGTCCTGGGATCAAGCCCCCATGGGGCTCCCTGCTCAGCGGGGAGCCTGCTTCTCCCTCTCCCTCTGCTTGAGCTCTCTCTGTCAAATAAATGAATAAAATCTTAAAAAAAAAAAAAAAAAAACAAGGCAAAATCAGTGGGAATAGAGGGAAGAGGTTGTCTTTGAGGACTTTACAAGGCCAATAGGGCTTGGTGATTGCGTGGATGTGCCTACTCAGGGAGTCAGAGGACTCCCCGATTCCTAATGCGGGCCACTGGGTGGATGGCGGCTCCTTTCAGTAAGAAACAAAACTTAGAAGAGGCACATATGGGTGAAACAGTAGAGATGACAAGTTAAACTTTGGACTTAATGAGTTCGAGATACCTGTGGAGGCTCAAAATGAGACAATACTGGGTTTCAGTATGATTGGCTCTGAACCCCACTGGCTGTGTGATGTTGAACAATATGCTTTCTGCGTTTCATCTGTAAAATGAACCCCATCTAAAGGGGGTTTGTGATAATTAGAACTATGGGACAGTGATGGCAGAAGTTAGGTATTCAGTATATCTGAATTTGAGCACAAAGTAGGAGCCAAGTAAAAGCTCTGATATTTTAAGGAGCTCACTGGGTAGTAGAAAAGACAAACATATGGAAAATGGAAGGGCACATAGGTGGCTCAGTCGGTTCAGAGTCTGACTGTGAATTTTGGCTCAGATCATGATCTCCGGGTGGTGGGATCGAGCCCCATGTGTCTGGCTCTGCACTCAGCGGGGAGACTGCTGGAGATTCTCTTCCTCTCCCTCTCCCTCTGCGCCTCGCTCCACTCTCTCTCTCTAAAATAAATAAATAAATCTTAAAAAAAAAAGAAAAGAAAATGGAAATGTGGTTCTCCCCAAGGACCTCTGTTCCTCTATGATGTTCAGTTCTGTAAAACTGACCTTCATCTTCTTCTTTCTTTTTTAAGATTTTATTCATTTATATATTTATTGAGAGTTTTTTGGGGCGTGGGCAGAGGGAGAGGGAGAGAATTCCAAGCAGGAACATGGAGCCTGACTCAGGCCTGGATCCCATGACCCTGAGATCATGATCTGAGCCAAAATCAAGAGTCAGACATTTAACTGACTTAGCACCCCGGCGCCCCCTTACCTTCATCTTCTATCCCAGCTCTCTGCCTGCCATGTGCTACAATTGTCCTGCATTCACTTATAAGTTTCCTGTTTTCAAGAACTCGCACCTCCACTCCATCTCACCCTGGCCACTCTTTGGACTTAGTCATGACCCAGAACTGCTACATCTCTGAAAGCTTAAATTCTAATGTGCTGTTTTTTACCACAATATCCTGTCTTTATATGTTCTGAATAAATTCTGGGGCTCCTAATGGCCCAGTCATGACAATGTAATAGAAGAAACCCAGTCTACCTCTCAAAACTGCTTCAGAATGATTTAAATCTCTGGTTTCTCAAGGAAACATTGGAGGTGGGGGGAGGAGAGCATGGGGCGGGAGCATGCTTAATGCATTGCCCAATGTCTTTAAAATCCTCTCCCCCGTTCAACATTGTCCATTGAGATGGTAGCTTCTCCCCAAAACTCTCCCTTCCAACCTTACTTGGCTCCTTACAATATTATCCTCCAGCTTAGAGTCTGTTCACTTTAGGGTCTCTTTGGTTTTGCATAACAGAGAAGAACCCTGGAGCTGACTTAGCAAGCAGAAATTCTTTCCTCCTCCATCGCCATCCTACTCTCCTTAGGGGCCCTGCAGTCTTACAGCCTATTTCTAGAAGGGGAGGCAGATACCTCCTCCAAGAATCCTTCTGTGACCCCATGTTCTGTGCTAGGCTCCCCTCATCTCTCATGACATCTCTCACACTGGTCTGGCATTTTGGTCTCAGCCACCAGACTGTGAACTCTGAGGACAGGGACCACGTCTTCTCTTTTATCATCCCCTGAACATAACCAAGACCTTTTAGCACAAATTCGACAAAATAACCTATCTTAGATCTGACCTAGACAGTTCCTTGGTAGAATTATTTTCTGATGCTAATGTAGGAGTGGGAAGGGGGGGCTGGCATAGGAAGAGATCTGAGGGGAAGAGAGTCAGCATGTACTGACACTTACTAGAAGCCAGACATGGGGCCAAGCATGTATGCCATTATATTCTTAAGTTCTGACAACCTCTCCATAAGGCAGGTGGTAGTAATACCCATTTTACAGATAAAGAAACCATGGCTCCCAGAGATCAAGTAATTTAAGATCACATCATTACATGTAAGTAGCAAAGCTTAGATTGAGTCTGACTCCGAAAATCTGTGTCCTTTCCCGATGCTGTGAGAGCGTGATTTGATTCCAGTGTATAACCCAATGGCTTTTTTTTTTTTTAATATTTATTTATTTGACAGAGAGAGACACAGCGAGAGAGTGAACACAAGCAGGGGGAGTGGGAAAGGGAGAAGCAGGCCTCCCGCCGAGCAGGGAGCCCGACGTGGGGCTCGATCCCAGGATCCTGGGACCACGACCCGAGCCGAAGGCAGACACTTAACGACTGAGCCACCCAGGCGCCCTAACCCAATGGCTTTATTTATTGAACAAACAAATGCGGTAAATAGTCAATTCTCCTTGGGAAACTAGGTCAATTAATATATTTTCCTCTGACCCACTTTCAGGCCCAAATTCTCATATTTTCAGCTTCTCAATGCTTATTACCTTATCAAGAGAATGTGCTGGTGTGTCTTCGTGAAGTTGGACAGGTGTATGTCCAAGTGTGTCACTGTTTGTGTGCTTGTGTGCTTGTGTATTGCTTAAGTCCTCTTGCTGGTTTCCCAAAGACTATGAGGGATGCCTTAAATGTACTTCCTCCCCTCCCTTTCCTTCCTAATGCTACTTAGTACTCTGGACCTGTCCCTACATAAGGTCCTTTCTGGGGAAATTATTCACTATTGTCGCTCTCAGGCCCCCAGCGCCCCCCAACCCTGTTCCCCTCGGCCTTTCTCTGAGCATTTTTAGAACTTGTGGTTTCCCTTAGCTGTCAGCTGCTTAAGTCTTGTTGCCAGTGATTTTGGCTTCCCTTCTAGCAACAGTCAATGGGGAAAATATTCAATTGGTTCAGAAGCATTCTCTTAGCCAATAAAATATTAATACATCGAATTCCACTTTCTTCCCCCTTCTTCCTCCACAAGCCCTGACCAATGAGATGCTGGCATTTGTCACTTACTGTCAACCTGGTATTTCAGAAGACACAATACTGTGATACTATGTAGAGATTAAAGAAGTGAGGCTAGGGATGGAGTAGAGGCGTGCAGGAATAGCTCATCCTGAAACCTGGCTTTCCCACCGGCACTGCAAAAATAGAGGTTGGACAAATGCCCAGGTTTCCTCTGCTCTAACCACAGAGGCAGAGAATCTGAGGGGCAGAAAGAGCTTAAAGAAATCGGCTCAGAATGTCCACAATAGCCAAACTGTGGAAAGAGCCAAGATGTCCATCGACAGATGAATGGATAAAGAAGATGTGGTATATACATACAATGGAATATTATGCAGCCATCAAAAGGAATGAGATCTTGCCATTTGCAACGACATGGATGGAACTGGAGGGTATCATGTTGAGCGAAATAAGTCAAACAGAGGAAGACATGTATCATATGATCTCACTGATATGAGGAATTCTCAATCGCAGGAAACAAACTGAGTGTTGTTGGAGTGGGGGGTGGGGTGGGAGGGATGGGGTGACTGGGTGATAGACACTGGGGAGGGTATGTGCTCTGGTAAGCGCTGTGAATTGTGCAAGACTGTTGAATCTCAGATCTGTACCTCTGAAACAAATAATGCAATATATGTTAAGAAAAAAAAAAGAAGAAGAAGAAGAAGGTAGCGGGAGGGGAAGAATGAAGCGGGGGAAATTGGAGGGGTAGACGAACCATGAGAGACGATGGACTCTGAAAAACAAACTGAGGGTTCTAGAGGGGAGGGGGGTGGGAGGATGGGTTAGCCTGGTGGTGGGTATTGAGGAGGGCACATTCTGCATGGAGCACTGGGTGTTGTGCACAAACAATGAATCATGGAACACTTCATCTAAAACTAATGATGTAATGTATGGGGATTAACATAAGAATAAAATTTTTAAAAAAACCAGAAATTTACACAATAAAAATGAATTAAAAAACATAAAAAAAAAAAGAAATCGGCTCGGCTCAGAGTTATTGTTCAACTTCCCCAACCCCAAACACACACACACACACCACTTACTATCCCATAAAATGGTTGTCCAAACTCTGCTTGAACTTCCCCAGGGACAGGGCACTCGCTGCCCCCGGCACTCCCTGACTGGTCTTTCTTCAGCTCATCATTGTTCCCTCTTTTCCCCTCTAAGACCAGATACTTGAACTGTCTCGGTACCTGCTTCCTTCCTGTTATTCCTGTTTTCTCCTGAATATACACCCACACCCCAGCACAGGCCCATGAAGGCAATGAGTAGGCAGACTGGGGAGAGAAAGCTCATCGTAGCTCTTGCAGGGAGGTATGAATTCCCCTCCTCCCTAGCAAGAACTTGTTGGACCCTTGAGTTCAGGATATTAGGCAGAGTCTACAGCCCGGGTATGGGAAGGGTGGGATGGGGGAGAGCATTCCAGAAAGGGCCCGGGCCTCACCTGGGAGGGAGGGCTGTGATGCCTGTCACTTCCCTTTGGGGAACTAGCTCTCTCTGTCCTCCTCTCTCACGGTATGCCTCCACACACCCACCCAATCACCGACGTGGCCACTAAGCTCAATCCGTTTCTGGGAAAAACTTCTTTTTTTTTTTTTTAAAGATTTTATTTATTTATTTGAGACAGAGAGAATGAGAGGGAGGAGGGTCAGAGGGAGAAGCAGACTCCCTGCCAAGCAGGGAGCCCGATGCGGGACTCAATCCCGGGACTCCAGGATCATGACCTGAGCCGAAGGCAGTCGCTTAACCAACTGAGCCACCCAGGCGCCCTGGGAAAAACTTCTTTATGCCAGTCAGAACCCTACTCAGTGAGTGAAGAGCTTCCGGTTAAGATAATACACACGAAAGTCGTTTACAAGGCGGGAATTCCCAGGAGTGTGATGGGAAGATGAGCAGGCCATCAGGATGACCTGTTCCTTGGCCCAGCTGCGACTCACCCTCCTTAACCCTCGTGGCCATCAAGTCTGGGCTCGGGCTCGGCCGCGCCATGCAGTTCTTTGTGCCACCCCCTTGTTTCTCTTCGTGGGGGCACAGCACGCCCCCCCCCCCCCCGCCCCCGACGCAGCGAGCTCCTTCAGCCGCGCATTGTCTGTCTGTACTGTGCAGGTACGCAGCGCGGAGCTGGGCTTATTGCGCCATGAGCTCATGGTACTAAGATCTGTAAACACGCTATTGGGGCTCCAGCTCTGCTAACTAGGTGAGACAGTTGAAGACCTTGTCTCAGACTCCCGGTTACACCTCCTCCAGGCTGGCTGGTAGGAGCGCAGGAGGGAAAGCCCGGCGCCAAGCGGTGGGGGGTGAGGCACGCAGGAGGGAGAGAAGGGACCGGCCCTGTTCCTGTCGCTGCCGAGCCGGGCGGCGGAAAGTACAGGGCGCTGTCTGAGGCACCGCCTGGTACAGAACTCAGCGAGCAGAGCCTGGCCCCCGCGAGCACAGCGCACACAACCACCGCAACCTCCATGGCCTGCCTCAAGCCCCAGCCCCAGCCCCATGCCCCAAGAATCTTTGGAGGTGAGTGAAGCGGCTCTAGCTCCCCCATCCTCCCCTCTTCTACCCCCACCCCAGGGGCTTCTTTACCCACGGATCCTCCCTCACCTCCGTATTCAGTCCCTTCCCCAGTCCCCAGCAGTCCCACGACTGCCTGCCGTTCTCGCGGGGTCCACCTGCCGCCCTTTCCCAACCCCGTGTCCTTCACGACACACACAGGATTGCCAAGCGACATCACCTGCTCAGAAGGAAAAGCAGAGCTGTGTCTCGTGCCCTGCTGCCCGTCAAGTGTGCTACCTCCAGCCAATGCCTGGCTGCCCGTCACCCGAGACCGGCCTCCGCGCCACTCTTCTCGCCCCCTGGACAGCCCCCCCCCCACCCAGGTCCTGCTCCTCTTCATTAAATCCCGCTCTAACCTCACATCGGCAGAGAAGTCTGCTGGATCCACACTGGTTGATTCTGGGGGCCCCCGTCCCAATCACTCAGTAGTCATAGGATAACCTCTCACACGGTTCAGCCTTTACTATTTTGAAAATACTGTATCATTTGTTCCCAGAACAAGCCGGTGGGGACAGGCATCGTTAGCCCCCTTACACATGTGAGCCACCTAAGGCTCAGCGTCAGTGACTTACCCAACACCGCACGCAGCTAAGAAGCAGCTCAGACTCAGACCCATGGGCTCCCCTCTCCAGCGCTCTCTCCCCCCCGCCCCGAGAACTACACCCCAGGGCCCCCCTAGAGCTCTCATTACTAAGGGCCTGTTGGCGTGGAGATAGCCATTTCTGTTCTCTTTGCGCCTTCTTGTTCTGATCAGTTGTGCTTGGAGCCGAGTATTTATGACATCTCCGTTGACTGGAGGTCTCCAGCGATCAGGGACGCAATTGTCCTTTCTCTGATCATCCCTCAGAATCCAGGACAGCGTTCTGCCAACCAGAGGAACTGGGCTCAGGGGCCAGGGCAGGCACCACTGGCGAGAGCTTTCCACCTTCAGGGGCGCTGCAAACCCCAGGGGCAGCGGAGAGGGCAGCAAGGCGGGCCTAGTGCTAACGTGCTGGGCGCTGACCCAGGGCCAGGCGTTATGTGGTTCTTTATTTACATTATTTAGGCCTCACGACATTTCCAAGGGAGGTATTATTATTGGCAAACGAGGAAACTCATGTTCAGAGATGTGGAGCCAGGGTGCAACCCACATCTGTCTGAGTCCGAAAGGAGCGCACATAAATAGCAAAAGTCAATATATATTTTAAAAATATGATAATCCCTTACTCCCTGAAGGCCTATCCTACCCTTGACTCTTCCTTCCCCAGAAAATAAAATTCAGGGAGAGGAAAGCAAGGGCAGGATGTACCTCAAACATGAACACACACACACACACACACACACCAGTTATGCCTATCACCACCACCCTGGATTTCCTAGCCAGGGTGAGGGTTATGAGGGATGGAAGTCAGTTTCCCCAGGACCCTAGCCCTCATCCCCTTCCCTGCTGCTAAATAAAAGTGAATAAATACTAAATAAATACAACTGCTCCCCCCTCCCCACTGGCTTCCCCCTCCCTCCCGTGACCAGCAGGGCAGAGGGGGCAGTGTGGATGGGGACGGTCTCCCAGCCCCTTCCATCCACCACCCGTCCCTGCCGTCCAGGGCAGGAAACCAGGGCAGGGCCAGCCTGCACATCGGGGCGGGGAGGAGGGCAGGCCTCATCCTCTCAGCCCCTCCCCACTGTGTCCGTGTGTCCATGTGTCCGCATGAGGCAGCCGCAGAAGCCTCCTCTTTCTGCCAACTCAGTCCGAGGCCCCGGTGCCCGGAAAGGGCAGCGGGGATGATGAGGTTATTTCCTGCCCGCCCAGGGGCGCCGCCGGAGGATCTCCAGAATCTGTGCCTTGCGGTGCAGCCAGTCCTGGGGAGGGGGACGCGGTGTGGATGGGGCTGGCTGGGGCACGAAGAAGCTGTATCGCAGGCGAGCGTTCTGGGGGTTGCCGGCTACCAGGACCTGCAGCGTTAAGGGCTGGGCCAGGGGCCCGTGGCCCGACAGTGTCTCAGAGGCTGAAGTAGCCCCGCTGTAGTGGAGACTGACCGCCCCGGGCAGCACCACATTCGTGGGCGAGGGCATCAGTGTGTATTCACCGTTGAGGGCGTGGGAGCCATCTGGAAGCTTCAGGGCCAGGTAGAGGCTCCGGACACCAGGGCCCCCCTGCTGCCGGACCAGGATATGCGTGGCCCCCGCGGGGATAGTGACCACGTTGTTGTATCCGTACCTGAGAGGAAGGAGACGATGGGGAGCTCAGCATCTTCCCGAATGCCCTCGGCCTTTCTGAGCTGTGTTCGTACGACTGTACGTGTGAGTTTCTGTGTGCAGAGAGTTGTCTCCCCAAACCTATGTGAGGTGTCCAGCCTAGATCTGAGCTACATGCCAACGCACCCTCCTCCCTCTCCCCTCTCGACCCCTTACTGAGGTGCCCTTCTGAGCCCACCTCTTTGGTTGGTGCCGGTCCCGTTCCTACTCTCCCTCCAGGAGCAAGTCCTCCCCCACCCCCCCGCCCCGGAAGCCCTCCCTGATGTCCACCAGGGCCCTCACAGCAGCCCCAGGCTGAAACCTGTTGAACAGGTGGAACACTGTGCTGGAACTCGTTACTCATCTGTCTCCCCCGCTAGACTGTAAGCTCTTTGAGAGGAGAGACAGTGTCAAGTTCACCTCTGTACCCCCAGGGCCAGGGAGGAGGAAATCAATAGAGAATGAACCTGAATTTTCTGAAGGAGCCAGACTGTTTACTGCAGCTAGAACCATCCCCACCGCACACCATGCACTTGTCAAACTTCTTTTTGGAGCCGATGACACGATCACAGCCAGCATGGATGCAGCGGCCCTGGACACAGACCGAGGAGCTGTCCGGGGAACAGGGAGTCCCATCTACCACCTGCCAAGAGAGGGAGCGATGCCAGGGTTCTTCCTAAGTCAGGAGGGGCTGGTGAGCCAGACCAGACCCATATCCCACCAGGGAGGGGACGTCATAAAGGCTGGGTGGGAGGGGGTGAAGACTAGGTGTGGAGTGAGCCCCAGCCGTGTGAAGGGGTAATAATCCTAATGACAATAGTAATTGTAAAAGCCACCGTGTTCAGAACATTCACTCTGAATCAGGCACTGTGCTAAGTGCTTTATGAGCTAGAATATAAATCTCACAGCCACTCTTTGAGGTTTCTAGAGATGGAACACTGTGGTTTAGAAAGATGAAGAGACTCTCCCCAAGATTAGACGGCTGGCAAGCAGAGGAGCCAAGATGGAAAGGGCAGGTCTGAGTCTTAACACCAGCCCCGAGCCTTGATGGTAGCGACCCAGACGGACGCTAGAGGGCGACCGACGCGTAAGAATGCTCCCCAGGGGAGGGCCGAAAGTTCTTCGAGGGCTTGTTCTTCCTTCTGCCTTGGACAACCCGCCCTATCCCAGAGAGGGAGTGCAGGGACGCCACCACTGTTTCCAAGAGGCCTGTCCAGTGAGGCGTGGCCTCCCATGAGCCCAACGAGGCCACCCCTGTAAGTGATAGAGGAGCCCACAGAAAGGGGTCAAAGACTTGCCCAAAAGGCCACGTCCGTTCTCACGCAATAGAGAGATGGGAACCGGGAGACGGGAAGAGAAAGATAAAGAACCCAAGGCAAATGGGACGGGCTGCAGCAGCCTGACTGGCAACTGATGCAGAACCTGGGGCTTGTTTCCAAATACCCGCGGACAGAGAAGTGTGAGTGGACCCTGGGCGGGCCTGGCAGGGCTGCGGGGGGGCCAGCGAGGGTGCTACTTTGGAGGATCTTTGCCATCAGAGAGCAGGGCGCTTCAGGAGAGAGAGGGAGCACAGGCGGTGCCCGGGGGCATCTGGCGCTCACCCGCGGCTCCAGCACATAGTAGTAGCCCAGGGCCCGGGCCTGGCAGGTGAGCTTGCACCGGTCCTGGGGCGCCACACCCGCGTAGCGAGGGACCCAGTCCATGGGCCCCGGGAAGCTCTTGAAGAGGTCAGTGCGGTGGTTGTAAGCTGCACATTGCTCCTCACGGAAGGTCAATGCTGTAGGGGGAAAGGGCCAGTCCGAGTCCTCTTTCCCCACGACATCCCATGCGAGCCCCTCCACCTAAGCCCCTCGGAGCTCCAGACAGCCAGATGGCCAGAGAAGCCTCCCAAAGGGTGAAGTTACTCCCCTCAACAGCAGGGACAGTCCCCCCCCCCGCCGCCCCGGCCCCGCCCTAGGGACGAGACGTTCCTGCCCTACCACCCCCTCCTAATGGCTTCTGTCCCTCCCAGTCCTCACCTGAGCCACCTGGGCAGGCCTGGGTGTTGCAGGAACGGAAGCGGGTGCGGCGGCCCTCACAGTACTTGCCACCGTTCCGGGGGACCGGCCGCGTGCAGTCCCGGGAAGAGAACTGGACGCCGCCCCCGCAGCTCCGGGAGCAGTCGCCCCATGGCCCCCAGGGGCCCCAGCCTCCCGCCTGTGGGATCTGCAGAAACACAGAACGGAAGGGTGGCATCTAGACGCTCTCTGCTGGGCCCAGGGCCGGCCCCTCTCCTCCAGGCCCTCCGCTCCACCCCTGCCCCGGGATCTCACGTTGAAGTCCTGAAGCTGGTCCACGTGGAGGCAGCGGCCCCCCATGCAGGCCTGCGCCGGCCCGCAGGGGGTGCCATCGGCCCAGGGTGAATGCTTGGTCTGGCACATGGCGTGGCCATTGAGGTGGCCGGAGCACCAGAGGGCGGCACAGGGCGGCGGCAGCTGTGGACAGTGGCGCGAGTGGGGCCCGAAGGTCAGCTGACACTGGCGATCAGCGTCATAGTCCTTGCCAGGGAAAGTCGCGGGCAGAGGCAGGGGCGCCGCTGGCTGGTCTAAGAGACAGTGCCCTGGGGAGGAGGTAGGGATACGAAGTCAGCCATGGGCCGAGGAAGAGTCTAGATTGCTAGCTGAGAGTCTCGACTCCCCGGGGCCTGATGGGATCCTGGAATCCAAATCCTGGGGCTGGAAAAAGCTTTAAGTAGTAGATACAATTTATTGGGTGCTTATTACATGATGAGCGTTGGCTAAATGCCTGACCAGCCTTTCTCATTTAACCATGGCAAACACCTGCGAGGTGGTTACCATTTCATGCCTGCTTTACAGATCGGCCACATGGACGTGAAGAAACTCACAGTCACACATCTACACGTGTCTAAAGAACAGAATCAGGCTAAGAACCCGAAGCGCTAAGTCTTCCTACCTGTTCTAACCGACTACAGACCTCTTGAGCCTGCTTTGTCTCAGCATCCCTGCCCAGAAGTGGCCACCCTGCCAGGCTTGCACACCTCCGGTGACAGGCAGTCACTCCCTTCACAGCCAGCCCGTTCTCGTGTGAACAGTTCTGACCCTTAAAAGGTCAGATGTCATTCTACTGCACCAAAACTTGCCTCCCTTGGCTGTGCTATTTCTGCTAGAGGAAGTGGGAACCACACAAAGACAGAAGCATTTCTCACCCCATCCCACACTGCAGAGGAAACTCACTTGAGGCAGTCAGGTTGGCCCATGCAGAATGCAGCAGAAGAGAGAGTACAGTCCGGGGGGGCGGGGAACGGAGCGCCGCACGGGGACAGGGCGGTGCCATCTGCTTACCGTAGCCATTGTCCAGGAAGTCAGTGATGAAGCGAGCACTGCAGGGGGACCAGGGCTCCTCGGGGTCCACGTGAGCCATCACAGGAGCCATGACGTGGCGGGAGGTGCTCCCAGGCCCATTCAGACCAACACATGGCTTTGAGTTGTCATGGAGCATGTTGAAGACGTGACCTGTGAGAGCGGAGGCCCTGTTAGGGTCCCACGGTCCCATCTCTGTGCCCTCAGGGGACTTCAAGCCCATAACAACCTGGTTTCAGCTGTGGATGGTCAGATCCATTCCCTATCCCACACTGTCCCCAGTTTCCTTCTGGAGCTCTAGGGCTCCTCAGTATGGAGCCCCCACTGCTCTGTCTCCCCTTCCCCCCAGACACACTCAGGGCACCTCCCAACCCTCTTTTCCTTGTAGCCAACATTCCTAACCCTGAACCCACCCATTTCATCACTGACTCTTACGAATAACATCTCTTTCAATATTGTGCCCTCCCCAAACACACACACACACACACATGCACACACGCAGAGTTCACAGTAAGTTTCCACATACTATCTCATTTAATAGAAAAATCTAAACGTCTATGCCCACAGCAGAGAAAGATAATGGCCCTGGACCTAGGCCTGGGGAGGAAGAAGCACCACTTTGTGACCCCCTATCTGCCTTCTAGTGAGCTCACTGTCCCCTTCCCCCAACCCGATAGCTCTCATGCATCCCGGTTGCCCCACAGCCCCACTCCCACCTTACCCAGTTCATGAGCAGCCGTGAAAGCCGACTGGAGCCCATCATCCTCCACAATAGCACAGCTCCGAGCCGGGTCACACACAGTGCCCACATCGGCCATGCCCAGAGTGTCACAAGTAGAGACCCCACACAGGTCCTGTGAAGAGGGATCACAGAAGATGCATGAGGAGCCGAGACTCTAGGGTCCGCTGGGATGAGATCTAGCCTCGTGGGGACCTGGGCCTTAAGGAGCCAGCGCCGTCAGGGCCCAGATGGCGTTGGCAGTGTGGCTGGGGCCAGGTGCCCTGTGGAACACCTCCAGGGGCCCCATTTCCAGCACCGTGTACCCGTGGTGCTTCCTGGAGCTCCGCGGCGCGGGGCCTACGGGGCTGATGGGGGCCTCACCTGCCGGGTGAACAGAATGGCCGTGTCAAAGTGGTCTGGGTCCGAGTCCTCAGGGGTGTTGAGTCCTCGCTGCCAGGTGCAGAAGCTGCGCAGGGTCTGGGCGGCACTGGGCCCCACTTGGGGCCCTTCCTCGCCCGGCCCCAGAATCACGAGCCGAGTCACCACCAAGCTGACGGGGTTGCGGATGCTCGGGTGCTTGAAGGCCTTGGCTGCGGCGGCCATAACCGTCAGCAGGTAGCGCTTCAGCCCTGCCCCGTGAAATGCTGCCATCTTGTCATCTGCCACGACCAGAGTCTCCACAAATCTACTCAGCGAGGCAAAGCGCTGGATTGGAAAAAGGAGGGGCGCGTCCTGAGAGAGCCTCCCAGACCCCTGGCTCCTTTTCCCCTCCCTTACTTCCTGGGTCTGGAACTCGGCAGAGCCAGCTGGGCCGCACATACACCGCGGTTTCCTGACGGGTCTTGGTTGGGCCCTCCCCCAACCCCAAGTTCCAGGGCTTTTGTGGTAACTCGAAGAAATCAGCTGTTGGTGCTGAGAAGGGGAGGGGAAGGGGATGCCACGTCCCAGGGCTGCTGAGCCCCGAGGTGAAAAGCAGCTGGGATTGCCTCTGGGAGGGGCTTTGGGGTCCCCCAGGCCGGAGTGCGCCGGGGCCTGCAGGACTGGAGCTGGAGGGCCGGGCTGCAACGTGTCGGCCCTGTGTGGTTGGAGGAACAATTCAGTCAGCGGCTAGGGCCAGGGCCAGATCTCAGCGTGGCGGGTGTGGAGGGAGAGCGGCTGGTCTGGATTAAAGCGAGAGAGGGAAGGAGGGAAGAAGGGGGAGGCCCGGAGTGGGAGGGAGGAAAGGATGGAGTGTCAGGCAGCCTTGCAGTCAGTCCCCAGTGTGGGAAGGGGACTGAGCAGAGGAGGTATGGGGTGCCCTTCCTCTGCGTCCACTTTTGCCCTACTTTGCAGTTTGCCAGAACTATTTTGAAGGCAGTACCAGAAGCCAGAGGTCAATCCCTTGGGCTTTAAACCTCACTCCTTTAGCCGGCAGTGGGGGTGAAAATCAAATTTGGGGCACAGAAAAGAGTCAAGGCCCAGGGGGCTGTCGGGAAAGCTTTCTGGCAGGAGATGGTGCCAGGAGAACGCCGTGGCCAAGCAGGGCTGGGGTGGGCAGAGGGGTGCTCATTCCCAGCACAGAGTCTCTGACCCACGTCTGGGACCCCTCCTCGGGGTCAGCAGCCTGGCCAGGGGAAGGGCTGGGGCAGGGAGAAACCAGAACCTTCCCGAGAAAGGAGACTGGCGGAAAGAGGAGAGGAAGACAGAAGGCAGGGAAGCAGCAGAATGGCCAGCAGGGGAAGTGGGTGGAGAGAGGGTGAATGGGGGTCAGTGGGACAGACATGGCGGGAGGATGCTGCAGGACACAGACTCCGGGGCTGCCTACCTTGGCTCTTCGAGGGCTGGGGCTGGGATTCCCGGGAGGAGCCTTGACGTTGCACATGGGGCCCTGGCCGCTGGCAGGACTCTTCCGGCGGAGGATGTGAGCCCCAGGCCCCCCGGCAGAGTTAAGGGTGCCTCCCTCCAGGGGCTGGATGTGGAGCTCGGTCCCCTGATACTGCAGCACCCCTAACAGGGCTCCCCCGTCCCAGTGCAGAGATGCTACCGACTCTGGATCTCCGTTGATGGTGCCGGTGAGGTAGGTGCCTGGCTCGGCCCCTCCCAGCAGCTCAGGGGCTTGGCCCAGGTACTGCACCGTCAGCCCCTCGACCCGCACGCCGGGGTCCTGCTCCAGCTCTAGCAGCAGCGTCTCCCCAAAGGCTGGCAAGCGGTACAGAAGCCTGGCAGGGGCGCCCAAACCGGGCAGGACGCTGCCATTGAGCTTCTCTGGAAGCACGATCTCCTCGTCCCGGGGGAGGGGGCTGGCCGGCCGGGCTGAGGGCAGGAGGGAGACCAGCGGCGGCAGCAGCAGCAGAAGCTGCCCCACCAGCCCGGAGATGGGCACGGCGGGGAGCAGCAGGCGGGGCTGGACTCCCCCCGGCCAGCACCCCGCCAAGCCCCTCCTGGGATGCCGGTCCGTCCGGGACATGGCACGGCGCTACAGCTGGGAGGGAGTGAGGCCGTCTGGGCACCGAGTTCTCCCCGCCCTGGCTTTGGAAAGCTCCTCTCTGCAGCCTGGGGGCTCGGACTTGTGCCAGGGTCAGAGGCAGAGTTTTCAGAGGGGCTGGGGACCTTCAGAGGAGATGGAGAAAACTTGGCCCTTAGGCTTCGGAGAGGCGCCTAGTGGCCTGGCTCCTCCAAACTCTCCTCTCACACCCCCTCCTCTCCCGGGTCTTTGTCTCTCCCTGCCCGTGTCTTCTGCAGCTTCTCGGGCCTCTCCTTCTGGGCTCCCTCAGACTGTCTGGCTTTGCCTCTGTGCCTGCCCTGTCTCTGGCTCCTTCCGCTGTGCCTTTGTCTCTGTCTCTCTCCTCCTCTCTCGCCCGTGTCTATGTGTCTGTGGGTCTCCCTGTGGGTTCTTCCCAGCCTCTCTCCGCGCCAGCTCTTTTAAGCATCCCGAGCTTCTGCGATTGGCTGAGCTATAAGCCATTCAGACAGGAGCTCTGTTGGTAGGACTCAGATGGGTGTCTCATTGCTTCCCAAAAATCCTAGTTTTTGTTTTCCTTTAAAAAAAAAATGGGACTTGCCCAGGGGAGGGGAATCTCTAGCAGCCGGATGGATCACAGGCACTGGGCCAGCTGATGACATAGCCTTTCCCCAAACCCCACAGTCGGCTCTCAGCTGTCTCTTTCCCTTTTTGGTGGGACAGAGCCCCAGGAGGGGTAGGAAGTCAGGGAAAGGGCCTGGTCAACACGCACAGAAAGCCCATGGTCCCGGGAGAATTCTCGCTCCCATTCTCTAATCTGGCATGGCCTCCCTTTTCTCAAGGCTTCCTCGTGCTGCCCTCTGCCCCTAGAGGCTGGTTTCCAGAGCTGAGGCAACTGAGTGAACTGTCAGGGAAAGACTGTGGGGAACAGGTAAGGAAGCACCAAGAGGGCAGAACAAAGAAAGGAGGTGGCTGGACTTGGCTCAGGATGGGACCAAGCAGTGGGAGAGAGAAGAGGCCGCAGAGATACGGGGTAGGCAGGTGAGGAGACAGTGATCAGGGAGCTTACTGCCCAAAGGTAGGATGGGTCTGCTTAGAATGGGCACATGGGGCAGGCAGCGGAGAAGGCAGGAGGGGTTAATGACTTTTCCTTTATAGAAGGAGGATCCAGGGTGGCACCTCCTCTTCTTTAACACTCCTCTCCTTCAGGCTCCCTGTTCCTGAGTTACCACTACCCACCCCCTCCAAAGCCCAGAACAGCCAATCCACCTCCATTCCCCCCAGGGCTCCCCCTCCCCACTTCCTGACTCCCCCATTTCCCTGGCCCAGCTCCCAGTAGCTTCCCCCAGGCTCTTGGCCCTGTTCCTACCCACTCCCAACTGCCCCAAACCCTCCCCCAGCCTCAAGTCAGCCAGCCCCCAGCACAGAAAGACTTGCTCTCCTAGAAACCCAGATGCACCCAAAGTCAGTCCATCCTAGGGAATCCCCACCTGGCTCCCTCTTTTGGCCCCACCTTGCCCTGAGAACACAGTCGCTCCTGGAATATCTAGTAATTTTTTATTTCTCATTCCCCACGGGACACGGAGAAGGTGGAGGATGCACTGTGTGTAGAGGGAAATTAGCGTACTGAGAAACGGGAACCCAGCGCCTGAGGTGGGGAGAGTGCCTGGGGAGGAAGAGGTAGTGGTGGGACAAGGCAGCCAAATGATTCCCTTGGTTTGGTTCTGGATGGGAGAGAACTCAGCAGAGAGGTCTTGGGGGTGGACTCTCGAGATAAGGAAGTAAAGGGTACAGAAGTAGGGGCAATTTCTGCCCACTCAGTGCTATGGCCACTCCTTTCCCCAGGATATCCCCAGGAAAGAGAATGCAGTCAGCGGTCCCTTTCCTTTCCCAGAGGCACATCACCTGCCCCTACCCCCATTCCTCTACCCACTCTCTGCCTTGTCGCCTCCTGTCTCCCAGATCATATCCGCCAGAATGCTTCCTTTGCCCCTCCCTTCCTGCTCAGGTCATGAATACCTGCCCTGGTGCCCACCACTGCCAGACCTACCTCTTCCCCACCACGTGCGCTGACCCTGGTCCTAACTTTGGAGGGGGTTGGGGCTGCGGGAGTCAGACAAAGGACAGGAGACCAGAAGGGGCAGGGGCAAGAGGAGCTATCACCAGAGGACTCTTACTGCCCCTTTCCAACCCCCCATCTGAGATGAGGACAAAGGGGGTGACTAAGCAGTGAGAGACAAAGGGCCTTAGAGTCACAGCAGCAGTGTGTGGGGGTGTTGGCTGCAGGGAGAAGGCACAAAAGATGCAGTGTCCTAGGTAGCCCCCCAGGAGCCCTCATCCCCGTCCCAGCTCAAGTCGCCTCCAGGGCCAAGCAGCCCAGACTCTAGCCTGACTTCTCCCAGCTTGGATTAGGGCAAATAAACGCAGTCCCCACACCTCCAGCATCGCCCTGCCCCCTCCCCACGGTCACTGTGTTCCAACTACAGAGGGAGAGCACGCTCAGGGAAAGGGTGGGGGGAATGAGGGAGACCCTCTGCCTGGCTGTGGGGGCTGCCCAGTCCACCCCGGTTCCAGTCAGTTCCCACAGCCAGGGATATGGCCCCACCCTTTGGTACGGTTCCCATTAGGTCAACTCCCAGGCTAGAAGTCTGGCTTTCCCCTCTTTCTTCACAGCTAAGAATTCCCTCTCTGCCACTTTCCTGGTCTGTCTGCCCCACCCTGCTGCACTGCTGGTGGGCTGTCTCAGGGACCCTGTCTGGGGGGGATCGATCTGGGGGCTGCCTCTTTCCAGGCTCAGAGTGGGAGGCATGTGCAAACTCAACGGGTGGCCCAGCTGGAGCTGGGCTTGGAAGCAGAGGGAGCGAACAGGAACTAGCCTCCAAGGCTGCAGAACTCTTGGTCTCTTCCACTACAGAACTGGCATCAGACTCCTGGTGGCACTAGGACTAAGGCAGGGTCAGAAAGACATGAGGGGAGGAGGACTTGACCCAGGATGGAAGTAGGGGATGAAACATCTCCAAGGGCGCTTCCTGGGTCTGTCATTCTGCAGCTTCTGGAAACCTGGCAGACATCAGGGTCTCCCAGAGGGCCCCCCCCCCCCCCACTCCCGATCTGGGCGGAGGTGGCTCCTCTACACCCAGCAGCCTGCTCCAGTGCTGGTGGCCTTGGCGTCCTCCTCTTCCTTCGTTTCGGTTTGGCGGGAGCTCTGAGACCCGCCCAGCCGCGCTGGGGCCCCCGTTCCCGAGCCCATTGGGGCCATCTCGTAATTAGCGGGCTTTCTCCGCTCGGAACCCCGCAAAGCCTGGGGCTGCCCGGGAGGGCCGGGCTCCGCCGCCGCCGCCACCGGGAGCGGGGCTCAGGCAGGGGGCGGGGAAGCACGCGGGCGAGCGAGCGCCGGGCCCCGCGGGAGCCGTAAGTTTCTCCGGCGCCCGCCTCGGCGAGCCAGTCACGAGCAGCGACGAGCACGGCGCCCGCGCCCGGCCGCCGCTCCAGAGCGAAAGCGAAGCGTAGGCGCAGAACCCGGATGTCGCCGGCGCGCGGCGGCGGCGGCCCCGCCAGCTTCCAAGAGGGCGGCGCCGTGGTGCCAACGGGCGTGAAGCCGCGAGGAGGCGCGCAGGAGGCGCTTCCGCCCGTTCTCCTTCGCGCAGTCCGCGGCGGGGCAAGATGGCGGCGCTGCGGGCTCTGCGCAGCCTCCGGGGCGTCGCGGCCCGGGCGCTGCGGCCCGGGGGCCGGCTGCCGGTTCAGCCCAGCAGGTGAGACTCCGGGCGGCCCTCGACGCGTAGCCCCCGACGCCAGCGGCTCTCGGGCCTGGCGCCTCCGCGGGCCCCGTGAGCCCCTAGGAAAGAATGACCCAGGCCTGTGACCCCCCGCCCAGGCCTGCTGTCCCGGGCTCCAGGATGCAGTGGCGCCCGCTCCGGCCGAGGGAGGAAAGAGGGGTGAAATCAGCTGCCGGGGGACCCTGCCCTTGAACGTTAGTGATAGTGTCACCTTCCCCTTGTGCCCTGCTGCTTCTCCCGAACCTCATCGTGGGTGGCGTGCGGCTGGTGAAAAGGCTGCTTAGACGAGAAGAGGGAAGCACTCCTGATGGGGTTAAAGGAGGAACACAAACCCAGACAACTCCCCCAGCGCCCTCCCCCCGCCCCCGTTGGTCCCCAGGACAGCATTCAGGCCTCACCCGGGCCGGGCACCCTGCACGGGCACCGCACACCTCTTAGTCTTCGGTTGACCTTGAATACACGCCTTGCTTGCATTCATATTCCCCAAGGTGGAAATACGAACGTGATGAGAAGTTGAAGGAGCTGGGATCCCCAGCCTTGCACGCACAGGGGTGATGGGTGCAGTGATTGCAAGATTAAGTTGTTAGTAGGAATGGAACGTCTGGAGTTCCAGCTTGTTCTGCTAAAGCTACACTGTTTGCCAGTGGCTTGGTGTTGGAGAATCCGAGGGCCCTTCCCTGGGCCCACCTGGGAGTGCATGGGAACAGAGGAACCAAGCGCTGTTGAGGCCCTGTGTCTAGGATCTGTCTTTAACTCCCTAGAGGTGCTCGGCAATGGCAGCCAGATGCGGAATGGGCAGAGCAGTTTGGGGGAGCTGTCATGTACCCCACCAAAGAAACAGCCCACTGGAAGCCTCCACCTTGGAATGGTGAGTTCCCAGAGCCGCTGTCCCGACTCACACCCATCCCTGTCCCAAGCTGATTTCTGAGTGCTCTTGAGCTCTGTCAAGGCAAGTTTGCGCCCTCGCCCTTTTTGCTTCTTTCACCAGCGCTTCAACAAACACAGGAACACTGATAATAGGGCAGGTATTTATCAAGTAGAGAAGGAAAGGAAGAGCATCCCAGGAGAAAAAGAGTAGGTCCTAGTCAGCCCTTGGAGATCCCTACCAGATTTATATTTTTAGCTTCAGCTTTTTCCGGAGGTTCAATATATTTCCATCTTCCTTCGGTAGAAAAGGTTTTTCCTACTGGTACTCAAATGACATCTTCCAGACTATGAAGCATTTTGCCCCCATCAGAAGTAGCCCTTCCTTGTGACTTTTTGATTTTGATCAGTGGTACCCACATTCTCCTAATTTCTCAGGAATGAAACATTTTAGTCATCTTTGGCTCTTTTTTCTCTCTTGCCCTCCCTGTCTAAATCCAAGAAGTCACCAAACCATGCAGATTCTTTTATAATGTTACGTATCAGATCATCTTTTCCTTTCTTGTTCAGATCTATTTTGTACTAGACCTTAATTAGTCAGGGGTCTCTTCACTGAGTTCCTGCCCACTGATCTGGTCCCCCTCCAGTTGTGCAGGACAATGTAATCACCTTCATCTTCCCCAAACATCATTTTACCATGGCATTCATTCGCTCAGAAACCTTCAGAAGCACTTCGAGTTACTTTTCAAAAATCTTAACAGTAACAGTAGCCAAGTGTTTACCATGTGTCAGGTGTTTGGTGTGCATTATTTCACTTAGTCCTTGCAACAACTCCATGAAAGCGATACTAGTATTATATCACTTTGAAGAAATCATGGTGCAGGGAGATGAAAAACTTGATCAAGGACTGCTACATGGATTTGCACTCGGGTCTATGTGACTCCAAAGCCCATGGTGCAGAATTTTGGCTGAAAAGTTAAGCTCTGGTTTCAATTCTCTGCTCTCCCATTTACCAGTGAATAAAGTGCCTATTTCATAGCATCACTGTAAGGGTTAAATGGGATCATAACATGAATCAGTTAGTGTAGTGCCTGGGACATGGTAAGTCCTCTGTAAGTGTTGTTATTAATGATACTGATAATTGAACCCCTACCCCCTACTGGCGGCCAACACTCATCTTCTGCCTCTTGGTAGATAGAGAGTTCCACAGATACTTCCTTGTTTCCAAGATTTCACCTTTGTTGATTCCATAGCCCGGGATGTTCTTCTGTCTACCTGTTTGAGTCATTCCCTGTATTTAAGAACCAGCTCATATCCTGCCTTCATGAAGTCTTCACAGTGTTCTTTTCTTCCTTTAAATACTTAACGGCTAAGCCATTTACTTGGTAACTTGTGAATTTGACCTCTCTTACTCGTTCCTCACATGTACTTATTTCCCAAATTAAACTCTATGCTTTTTGAGGGTAAACACTGCCGTTCGGTAGTGGTAAGAATTAGGTATACATTTCCTGATTGGCTGGGCATTCATCAGATAGATTTGGAGGTCAGTGTATCGTAGTGGTTAAGAATGTGGACTGTGAGGGGCG